CCCTCATAGTGAAGAGCTTCTTCCTTATATCTTATCTAATTCTGCCCTCCTCTAGTGTGAAAGCCCATCAAAGGGTCCCTCCCCAGCTTTCTTGTGGGCCCCCTTCAGATACTGAAAGGCCACAATAAGGTCTCCTGGAGCCTTCTCTTCTCCAGGCTGAAGAACCCCATCTCTCTCAGCCTGTCCTTGCAGGAGAGGTGTCTCAGACCCCTGATCATCTTTGTGGTCCTCCTCTGGACCCTCTCCAACAGGTCCATGTCCTTCTTGTACTGGGGGCCCCAGAGCTGGACAAAATACTGAAAGTTTGGTCTCATGAGAACAAAGTAAAGCTTGTCCCTTTTGCTGCTAGACAGGCTCATTCACCTGCTGAAACCTCACCAACAGGAGGTTTCACAAGCTGCCTTACATTACAGACCTGAGGGCTGGTAAGGAAACAGGCCACAGCCCTGTCTACTTTCCAGCAGGGAACAGTACTTACACTCAGAAAACCACAAAGGAAGTACTCCACATGGGTGTCTCCTGCCATGGAAGGATAATACAAGCTCTGTGTGCTTTGCCAACAGCATGCATTTTAGGAACCAGAAATGCCTGAGGTTTATTTGGAATTCATAAACCATCCCTCATTAAAAAAAAAAATAAAAATTAACATGTGTCCTGAAGGAAGGTAGAATTTTAAATACAGTGTGAGATGGCATGAGCTGATACCACAAACAGTAAACCCCTCTTACCTGTCACCAGAAACAGAGATCAGATGTTTGCAGTCATTACTGAATTTCATCCCAGTTACAATCTCTGTGTGAAATAAAGCACAAGGAGGAAAAAAAAAGGAAAAAAAGACCAACTTAATTATTCCAGTGGGCAGAAGAGATCATTAGCCAAGTGGCCTATCTGCACTCAGGAACTCAAAGTCTGGTTAAAGCCAACACAATTCCACAAATCAATATGCCCAAATTACCATAATCATTTCATGAATAAACTAGCCTTGATATGGAAAGAATACCCCACAGCAAAATAAGCATGAGGACTGAAGTCTCTTTTTGCCCATAAGGGAATAGGCCCTGCATGGTAGGAGCTGAGGGTGTATCATAATTAATGAACCTAAATACACACTGAAAAAACAGAGACTACCTTATAGGCCATTAGAAAAACTGTAAGCAAATACATGGCCTAGCAGGCATGTGTGTGCTTATGTTCTGCAATGCAAAATGCAGTCTGAAAGAAGCTGAAGTTGCAATGATAACAGCCTACTACAACTTCATCCAACTATAACCCACTCCAAAATACCCCCTGGCTAAACTCTGGTGGGGAGGAACTTTCAGAAAGCTTTACCAGATCCTACTGTATAGTTCCAGTGGAAAAGATGCCTTTCTAGAAGCTTAGGTGCCTTACCTGAATGCCCATACATAGTGGCCACACACTCGCCAGAGTAAAAATCAAAGATGGAGAGGTTCTTGTCAGAACAGCTGGTTGCAATATAAAGACCAGAGGGATCTGTTTGCACCTGGTTTAAGAGATAAAGTGCAAAAATCTTCTCAGAAAGTACCTTTGAAGTGCATGAAAATGGTCCTGAATACTCATGACAGACACAGTAGTTAACAGAACAAAATGCAAGTAGCTCCTACAAGACTCCAGTTGAGTACCAAGCTGTCCAGCTTCCCAGGACACATCTCCAGCCTGACTAAACTCTTAAAACTATCTCCAGCCTAATCAGAGACTAAAGGCACTTACATAAAATGCCTTCACAGCTTTGGAGGAACCACCACCAATGAATAAACTTATACCTCTCTCTCCTACCTCCTTTTAAGCAATGGGGTCTTATCTTCCTCTATCTTAAGATCAAAACAAAACAAACCAACCAACCCACATATGCCAAAACACAGCCCTCAAAAAAATAATCAGAGCTGACAGAGTTAATTGAAATATTGAAAGACTTCAATTTTAAGGATAAAAACCATAAAAGAACTCAACTGCCCCAAGAAATTGCCTTTGACAATGATGCTGTCAAATCTCCAGCATTTGCAGCTCCTGTTTTTGGACTGGTTTAGGTTTTTTGTTGTTGTTGGGTTTTTGTTTGTTGGTTGTTTTTGGTTTTTTGGTGTTGTTTTTTTTTGGGGGGGGGGTTGTTGGTTTGAGTTGGTTTTGGGTTGTTTTTTTTTTTTTTCATATACACCCATCTGTTCTTTATCTTGGATCAAATATCCAAATGCCTCACTGAGCATAATACAGCACTACACAGCAAATACAGCTGCTGTCACCAAATGTCCTGCTTTGTCCTTTGTAGAACCTTAAGCAATTGAGAGTGAAAATGTCTGGAGACATGGTATTCAAATAATGATAACTTTTTTTGGTTATGTTTATTTTGTTGCTGTATTATTTGCTTCAAATGTCACTGTCTTGGTTCTGCTTGTCAAACTGCAATGTATATTATGATCTCAGAACAACATGCCAAGAAAGTTTAAATTCCACAGACAACCATAATCCCTTGGTTACATAATTGTCCTAAAAATGAACAAAGCAATGTTAAAAATTATTGAGATTCCCCACTTGAGCCACACATAAAAAAACAAAACCAGAAAAGATATTAAAAACAAAAAATCCAGCTCCCAGCAACATTTCATGGTTTGTGGTCTGAGAAAGATAGAATCAAGTGCCTGAGCTTACCAGCAATGAAGTGTAGCATCAATTTTTCATTTTCATTACTCTGGCTTATAAAAAACTTTGTAGGAATTATAATAGGCAAAGAGAATTTATCTTTCTCTGTGAAACAGAATAGGTGACACTGAACCAGGCTATTTGCTCTCTCTTTCATCCAGTTATTTACACCCATCAGTAGGAGACTAGACTAGACTCTTTCAGTCAGAAGGGACCTACAACCATCATCTAGTCCAACTGCCTGACCAATTCAGGGCTGACCAAGTTAAAGCATGTTAATAAGGGTGTTGTCCAAATGCCTCTTAACCACTGACAGGTTTGGGGCATTGACCACCTCCCTAGGAAGCCTGTTCCAATGTCTGACCACCCTCTCATTAAAGAGCTGCTTCCTCACGTCCAGTCTGAGCCTCCCCAGGTGCAGCTTTGAACTGTTCCAGTGCACCCTACTTGCTTTTACAGCATGGGCTTGTGCCTTGCTGCAGAATCAGAACAGAGAGAGAAGCTATTCATCGAGTTCAGCATTCATTGACTCTTCCTGGTTTAGCCTGATGGAACCCAAATACATTACCAGTCCTTAAGGATGGAGGAAGCAAGCAAAAAAATGGGGAAAAAAAGCTACTGTGTCCAAATTTGTATTTCATTTTCTCAGCCCTGAGCTGCATTCAGAAGAGCTAGAAAAAAGGAAAAGGTAAGAAAGAAAGAAAACAGCTTACTTTGATGAGGGTGCCATCTTCACCTTGGGATCCCTTATAAAGCTTCTTCTGCTTCCCACTGCTTATGTTGAAAACCCTGAGGGGGGTGACATAAGATGACATTGCTCATTTTGCCCAGGTCTTGCTCTGTGGCTCTTGGCACCAGGATCCTTCTCAATTTCTGCTTCTCATTCCACATGAGACACAGGGAACTGGGCCAAGCCACGGGAACTATCACCACTAACCATTTAAATGGTTCAAGAAACAATCTCAAAAGTAAAGTAGAGGCCCAAAACTGGATACTATGATATCAAGCAGATTAGCTGAATTAAAATTGAGGCTTGATTATCAAGCCAGTTATCAAAAAATACAGTATCATGGCACTGAAGGAGAAATCAAATGGGAAGGAGAAACCCTTGCTGTGCCTTGTAAGGGCTAATGGTTATGTAGTAGGAATGGCTCTTAAGAAGCTTCCATCAAGTCCTCCCTGCTCTAACAATACCTGTGGCTCCTTCATACTAAAGGAAAGGGATAAGAGAGCAGGAACCTTTATTTACACTAGAATGCAGAACCAAATTACATTTACTAGTGGTATTTAGGTATGACCAAAACTCTGGGCATTTCATGTCATTACAACAGGAGAAGACACACAACTACAGAGAGTCTCCTTTGCTTTGAAGGTAGCAGCAGATTGGAGAAATGGATAAGAAGGGAGCAGAGAATGGATTCCATTTCTCCAAAGACAGTCACACCTAGCTCAGTTTTAGGTTCCTACAGTCCCAGCTATTCCACAGGACCTCATAGCTTCTGACTAGACATACCTTCAGAAGCAAAAATGACCACAGCACCCAAGTTCTTGCCCCACAATGATGTGCCAAGGAAGGCACACTTGCTCTCCCAGTACAAAGAAAAGTCTTTGTTCTGCAGAGCAACCCAGTGGGAAGCCAAGAGTCCCAAAGGCATGTATCCACAGCTTTTTACCAGCAAGGGGAAAGGCAGAGTCCAGCCTCACTGAGTGTAAGACCTCAGATCTGACTGTGTCAAAGAACCTAGAGGAACAATGATGGAGATGGGACTGCCTTGGCCAACTCATGACTTCAGAAAATGCTTTCAGGACAAGAAGTAAACCAACCTGATGTTCCGATCCTGGCATCCGATAGCTGCATATTTCCAGCTGGGGTCCACATCCATGTCATACAGAGTGGTCTTCCTAACAATGTGATGAGTTCGGGTAAACTGAACCCCTTCTCCTGTCTTAAGCATGTGGGAAAAGACCGTGTCAAAATCAAGTAGTTAACACATTATTAAAAACTTCTAAATACAGATGAGTCTTCTCACATAGCCAGCACAAACCAACCCCTCCCACTAACCAGGTCTGGGAGCAGCTGGGATGGGAGGCACAGTGAAGTCCTCCCTCCAGCCCATACTCTTTTCCCACTCCTCACAACAGCCCTGGCAGTGAAAGAAAAGTAGAGATCCTAACAGTTCTCTGCTTGGCATCTTGCTGAGAGAGGTCAGGCTGGGAGCAGCTCCATGCTTCACAGAGCTAGTTCTTCAAATGTAATCTCTTGCACTGAGTCAGTGGGAGACACTGTGGCTGAAATAGCAACAAGCTCATACAGCAACTCTGACATCACTCTTTAAAGCAGTTCCTTTGTGGAGAGTTTATTAGAAAAGCCCAAAGCAGAAGTGCAGAAGAAGCTGTGAGGAGGTTACCTTCTGCGCCGTGCGGAAGTAGATGCTCTTGTCTGCCCCACAGCTGATCATTCTCACCTTCCCATCGTTGGCTGGAACAAAAAGGTTGAGTCCATCAAAAGACAAACACAGGTACAGGGTGGAGGAAACGCTGCAGTTTGTGTCACTGCTCATTTATTCCAGTCCTGACTAGCTAAGACTGACTCCTACCTAAGAGGCAGGATGCTGCAGCAAAACAGAAGCCCCTTCTTGGGGACAGCGTTTGGTACTGCTCGGAGTGCATGAGGCTTTCCACAACAGATCAGGATGCAATTCTGTCTTCTCCCTCAGCAGTATGCTCACGTGCTTATTCTCTGTATGCCACAGCTCTCTGTGGCAGTATGACACATTTATGCTCAGTGTGAGCTTGAAAACAGGCAACGGGCACTTTTCAGTCCTCTGTCAGTCACGTGTTTTTTTCCTGCAAAGCCAAGTTTCTCTTCTTCCCTTAGTGCTCTTTTGTAACCAACCTGCTCCCCTTCAGAGAAGCAACACCTGATAAAATTCTGTGTCATAAAGATGGAGCCAATATCACAAGAGTCTACTTGAACTGCATCCACTTAGAGCATGACTGCACTTAACTCACAGCCTAGCACAAAGGCCTTTGCTGACACTCCTTGAGTGCTGTCCCCTCGTCTCCCAGGAGTTTAGCTGGTTGCACTCAAAGCCAGCTCACTGATAAGATAGACTTGTCAGAGAAACTTTTGCTGGCCTTGGAACTCCTTGAGAAAAAACTTGAAAAAGCCTCAGAGCAGCTTCAGGGAGCCTCTGCTGTGAAGCTTCAGCAAAGCCCCTTCACCTGGGAGCTGAGGTTCCCATTTGAAGCCCACCTGAGCTACGCTGCAGCAGTACTCCAGCCACACTTCTGCTTGGCCACCCTCTTGATCTGAATCCCGACCCTGACCCCTGGACTCAGCTTCCTGATTTGAGCTTTAGCTTCCCTTGCTGCTGTGGGCTTGCCTGGCAGGCACTGTGGCTGACCCTGCTCACTGCCTCCAGACTGATCCTGACCTTGAATCCCTGACCTGTCAAATCACCAGGATGTGTCTGGTGATCTGGGCTACTGGCTGGATCTAGTTACTGCCACTGGATTTGATCTGTTCTACCTTGTTCAAGTACTGTGGGACTTTCCCATTATACCAGGGAGGCTACTAGCTTTAGCCTTTTTCCCCTAACAAAGCAGCCAGCCTCCGTTCTTCCCCAGCAACAGCACAACACACCACCCTGATGTCTGACCACCTGTGGTAACTCAGGGCTGGGAATGAAATGTGCTCCATTAAGATGGATGCAAAGTCTTACAATGGTTTCCAATGACAAATTCGTGACTAGTTAATCCCAAAACATATTTTGAGGGCTTGGGGATTTTTTTGGAGGGTGATTGTTCCACAGTTGTCCTCACTAAGAACGGTGGGTAGCCATCTGACAGCAGCTAAAGGGATTAAATCATTACAGAAAACAGTTTTCCAAAGAGATGCTGCAGACTTCAAACAGGAAAGGTTTTTGGAGCAAGGAGAGAAAACACAAAAGGGAAAAGAACGCCAAGTGTAGTCAAATATCACCTTCTGTTAGGACTGCAGCTAGAGAAGATGACAAAAAAGCAACTGCAGCTTGGACTAACTCAGTATTTAAGCAGGTAAAATTACTTTACAACCACAATGGGATGACAGAAGTTTGCAAATCCAGCCTTGGAGGGAGGCCACGACTCTCTACCTGCAAATTTCACAGCAGTGATGGAAGAAGAATGTTCATCCAAGGTCTGCTGCAGGGTGTAGTCCTTTCCAGCATCCAAGACATGAATCAATCTATCCCGACTGGCTGAGGCTAAGAGCTTTAAGCCTGTCCAAAAGTCAAAAAGAGTGCAAGACCATTACTAAAAATTCATTTGCTCTTCCAGTCACTATTTTAAAACAGTTTCTCAAGTCACTGTAGAGACAAACATACTGTAGCTAGCTGCATGCAGAGACACAAAGGGACGTCCCTGGATTTCACACTACAATAACAGACAGAACCAGTTTCAAACTTAAATCTGCAATACTGAAAGGAAAAGTATAAGAAAGAAGCCTTTTGCAAAGTCTGGCTCTACTGGCCCAGCACTACAAGCCTGCTCTGAAATCCAAGAGTAGCTCAGCACTGAAAGTTCTGACGAGCTATGGCTGGACATTCTGACTTGCTCAACACTACATTCACAGAAGAAGCTGAGTTGCATTTACCTGTGTCAGGTTTGGAGTACTCCAGACATAGGATCTCAGAGTCATGAGCTTCCACCTTCAGCATCTCCCTCAGAGACTGCAACTCATATATCCTAAGACACGACACGGCTGATTTCAGTATGTTTCATAAAAGCAGCAAGACCAGGTTTTTGATCCTAATGCCTCCCCAGCCTGCAGCCTGCAGGAGGAGCTCTGGGGGGTTACCTGAGGGTGCCTATCCTGTCCCCCGAGGCCAGGTGCTCCCCACCAGGGCTCACGCAGACCGTGCGTATCCCCACCTTCGTGTCCATCACCTGGGCATCAGCCTTGTCTGTGCCTCCTGCTGAGTTGTAATCCGTGTCCAGCAGGACCTGAGTGTTGTCATCCACATAGATGATTTTCATCAAGTCCTGAGGATATGATACACCCAGAAATATTAAAGAGTTGCAAAAGATTGAGGTGAAGCATCTGGCCTTAGAAACTGGGCTCCCATCCAGCGCATACACTTCATTGGCAGCAATGCTGTAATTGGTGGGATCTCTCAGCTAGGGGTGAGCACTCAGCCCCTTCATACTGCAGGGTGAAAGTTTCACAGCTGTCTCTCACCATCACCCTTTGCAAAATGTTCCCCTCCAAGCTAGACACACAAGCTCTAGGGTTAGTGATC